AGAATTTTAATATATATGCATACGTGTATATTTATATAATTATTATGTAATTTTGTATATGGACATATGTATATTTAGTATTTTTATTTATATATAAACATAGATATATATACAATTTCATTCTAAGTGTATTTTGATATAATTATATATATTACTATCAAATAAAATTTCATATAGATATATATTTTTTTATTTTAATTATTTTTACATGTTTTTATTTAATTTAAATTACTTATTTGTATTTTATAATAATATTTATATACAATATAAATAGTTATTATATATATTATATATATATGTGTGTAATTTAATTATAAGTGTATTTTTATATTAATATATGTACATATTAATATAAAAATACACTTAGTATGACATTATATATATATATATGATATATAGACATATATTATATATAATATGTCTATATATCATATATATAATCACATATATAATTTTTTTTTTTTTTAATTAACTTTAACTTAAATTATTTTTATGATTTTACACTAGCAGGGAGACTGCCTGTCAGCACAGACAGTACCCCTGCAGGCAGATACATGGACACCTATTGTGACCATGTGATCGCTCTATTGAGCGATGGCCCCAGGGGTCCTAATCCGCCATGGGGAGACTGTCTGGGCTGCAGGCAGTCTCCCCACAACGGGAGCAACACTGATTGCCGCCGGGGGAACGACGGCGATCAGGTAAGTGCATTGGACCGTTAGGACAGTTCAGGACCGTCACTGGTCGGCAATGCAAAAATGCAGATGACGGTCCTGAACCGTCCTCGGCCCTAAAGGGGTTAAATGAATCCAAGAGACTGGGAAATCCAGGGACGGAATATAGGAATGAACCCAGAAATCCCAGCATAAAGAAGACCAGACATAGAATATAAAACCAGAAAAACCAAGAAAAACGAAACAAGAATTATAAAAAGAGTACTGGATACCAGAAGCCATAGCCAGAATGATCCGCAGCTAGGGACAGGATATGACAGTCAGTCTGTGTGTGTATGGGTCAGTCTGTCTGGGGGGTCAGTCTGTGGGTATGTGTATGGGTCAGTCTGTGGGTGTGTGTGTATGGATTAGTCTGTGTGTGTGTGTGTATGGATCAGTCTGTGTGTGTGTGTGTGTATGGATCAGTCTGTGTGTGTGTATGTGTATGGATCAGTCTGTGTATGGGTCAGTCTGTGGGTTTGTATTGGTGAGTCTGTGTAAGTGCTAGAGCTCCAAGAAAGATACTTCTCATTTCGTGACCTCCCCTGTACCCGACGGATAGGCAGCCTTCTAAACCACGATGGATATGATTGTGCCACCCCCTCCCTGCAAGGTAAGATGAGGGAAAGGGAATATTCTTTTTTTTTTTAAGTAAAAATTGTAAAACAGTTTTTGCACATGGGCCCACTCTACGTTAGTTCCACCACTGTGCAAGCTCTGCCCCTGCATAGAAGATCACCTCCCCGTATGCAAGCTCCACCCCCAATCTCTGACTTAGACACACACTGGCAGACATACACACATTCTGACAGACATACAGTGACAGGCACACACTCTCTGACTGAGACACATACAGACACACATTTTCTCACATTGCTGATTTTATTTTAATTTAAAGGATCACTATAGTGTCAGGAAAACAAACTGACACTATATAACCCTCAAAGTCCCCCTCCCGCTGGCCTGAAGGGGTTAAAACCCCTTCAGCCACTTACCTTTATCC